TATCTATCGAGCTATCTATCATCATCTATCTATCTATCTATCTATCTATCTATCTATCTATCTATCTGATTCGATTCCCTACTCACCTGTGGAGATGATACTGATCTCTGCAATTCCTCGTTTCTAACACGCAATGTTGGCAAATGTTCGAATGAACCAGATTGTCCGCCACTTGCCGACGTACACCAGCCCGTTCCGTTAGCATAACAGCCGAAGCTGACTTTGAATTACGAAATTTGTTGCTAGTCACTGCTGATGATGATGTTGACGACGACGAAACAGACGTCTGAGCGGTTGCAGATGATGCATTATCTTCTGAAGCACTGCGTTCGGTCAATTGTACGGTAGGAACTCTAGGTATGGGCGGTGAACAAGCCACATTCGACGAATTTGATCTTTCATTTCCCATATAAGTTTGTGTTAAACTGGGGCAAGCTTATCGATTTTGTAGGACTTGAGGAAGAAGTACTTGTTGCATTATTATTGTTGGATGATGATGAGGATGCCTGCGGCGGTTGTGTGTTCGTTTGAGGGACTATATATTGCGAAGAGCCGGCTGGTGGTGGTGATGCCGTCTCATATATAGATTCTGGTAGTGATATGTGATGTGAATGTTTGTAACGGTGCACTAGAGGCCAAATAAGTACCGGCTGCCCCGTTAAAGGATGTGAATATTGTCGATGTAAAGGAGCAAAAGGATTGGTAAGATTACCACTACCACCACTGCCGCTTGCTAGATGTGCTGAATGTTGACTCGGTAGTAGAGGATCTGAGTGTGGTTAACCAAAATGGTGTCGTCTGAGGTACACTAAGAAGGTGGGGTGAATTTGTGTGATAGACTTGGTGCCGGTTCGAAGAAGTCGTTCTATGCGCGGTGGTACGGTTACCAAATGATGATGACATGACCGTGATGGTGATGATGATGATGATGAGGATGCGTTGGTATATGATGCAAACCATGGACGGCCGATGAATAAAGAGTTTGTGATGTACCAAATGGTTCAAAATCTAAGCTACCCGGTGTGGGTTCTGGTGATATTTGATTATTGGAAAGACTATCGCTGTCACGTTTAACACGTGGCTGTCTTGTAAGTACACGATTGCGTTCGTTCCCATTTGAGCTGGTTGTGGCGGTTGATGGGGTTCTTGGTGTTGTTGTTGTTGTTGTTGTTGTTGCTGCTGTTGAGGTGATTGTGCCAAACTTATGCCGCATGAGAGCGAGGCTTTTGTATCTTCTGTTTTGGGAGTTGAAAAAAAGAAAAAATAGTTATTTACAGTTTTATTTTGGAAGCTTTAGGTAACTTAGATGAGTTTCTATTAAATGAACTTAATGCTTGTTTGTCCCTTTTAAGACTTTTTACGCTGATCAATATCATTTACATTTTAAATCTGGTTTAGATTTGAAATATAAGAATTATCTATCGAGCTATAATTTTTGTTTTGAAAAGAAGTTTTTTGGTCTGAAACAATAGTGATATTTTTTATGATCGACATCCTTTAGATTTGATATATAAAAGATCATCGATCTAGTTTAATTTTTTTTTTTTTCAAAGAAGAAAATGTTTTGTAAAATTTGATATTTTTGTTAAAAATAAACATTTTTTTGGTCTGAAATATGAGAGATGATTGAGCGAACTTCCTTTTAAGATTGATATCCTTTAGATCATGAAATATAAGAGATCATTGAACGAGCTTGCTTTCTCTCTGAACTAAAAACATTTTATGGAATTAACAACATTTTGGGTCTGAAATATGGGTGATTATCGAGCGATCTTCTTTGAAATATAAAATATAATCGATCGAGCTTATATATCGATGATCACCTAATTTTAATAAAAGTTTCGAAACTATTTAAAACTATTGACATTCCTTTTAATGATATATACTACTGATCTTCAAATCAAAATTTTGCAAATACAAAAAATGCCAGTTGTTTTCAATTAATTAGCTTTTTCGTTTAAATCGTTATATTTTGTTTTATTATTATTATTAATTATACCACATTGAAAATTAAAGACTACAGTGTTTTTTAAACTTATTTTAAAAAGTTGGTATTTTTGTATTTTGTTTTTATTATTATTATATATATAGATATATTTATATGTCTGTATATATATGTATATGTCTTTAGTTTTTATCATTTTACCAGTTGTATTTAAATTAGGAAACATGTTGATTTACTATTGAAATAAATGTCTTATTATTTTGTTTGTTTTGTTTTAAACTGTAGATCAATGTATAAAGTTTTTTTTTTCTTTGTTGCAATATAATTTATAACAATTTGTTTTTGTTTTTTTTTTTCTATAGTAATTATGGCTTTGATTATTTATTTTTTTCAAAATTTTTTTTTTTTTCTGAGAGTTTAAAACATCTACTTTTATATATTTCTTGTTTTTTTTAACGGTTTTTTGTTTTTTCAATTTTTATTTTCCAATCAAAATTATAACATCACAAGCTACTCTTATTTAATTAACATTTAGTATGGTATTATGTTACTTTACTGGATTTATTTTGTTTTTTTTTTTTTTTAATATATGTTTTAGAGTTAAGTATGTATAGTTAAATGTACTTTACATTCTATATATATATATATATAAGAAAAAGTATGTATAATAGTTTATTTAACGATATATGATATGATTTATCATAGAAAATATCGTTTTTTTGTTGCTTATTTTATAAATTTTTATTGTTATTTTTTGTTTATATTTTAATATATAAATAAAAAAATTATTTTATACGTAAAAATTGTAAAATCGTTATAATTACAATAATAAAACATGTATAAAAGTTTGTTATTTTTAATTTTTTTTCATATTTTTATCTGTTTATTCTCAAATGTTTTTTTTTTTTTTGGAATTTGAGTTTTTAATAATATTTTTTTTTGTTTGTTTTGTAATGAATATGACGTAAGTTATTTTTAACACAGATTTGTTTAAATATTTTAACATTATTTTGTTTTTTTTTTTATTGTTGTTGATTGTACAGTTTTTATTGCGTTGTCTAAACGTGTTGTGGTATTTGGTAGACTTTTTATTTTAAAACCATGAAATAATAATAGTTGTCCCTGAAATTAATTTGAATTCAAACAGGAATTTTTGATTTGAATATTCATTGTGAATTAATTTACTTATAACTTTTATTTAAAATAAAGTTATTCTTTATAGAACAAATTATCAAACTTTTCTTAAATTCAATTCGAATCTGTTTATTCTTATGTAATGTAAATTACCGAATTCCTGATCGAATAAAATTGATCGTAATTTTTCCTTTTGAGATGATCACAATTGATAATGATTAAGAAATCTAGTAAATTTTAACTTAAGTTCGATGTAAAGAAGTGTTTTCGATACGAAAGCTCATTCGATAACGTATGTATGTATGTGGTAATTCGTTTCGTGGATCGATTACGAATCAGTCGTTGGGAAACAATATTCTATTCACGAAACGAAATACCAAATAGAAATGATTAATACTTCACCCCAATTGGGAGTGCAGTTATGACAAGAAAATATTCTTTAATGGGGGTTTGGACCATGGACCGAGTTCTATAGAATTTAGTGATTAATATTTCAAAACAACGCATGTCCATTAAATTTGATCATAATACAAAAACACTTCAATTATTTATTGAGAATCAATTGATTAACTGTAAAAGGTCCTATAGGAGGAAATGGTTTTAACTGTATTCCGGGGAGGCGAATTATATGGGCGCTAGGTGAATACATATTGACCTGTATTGTCCGTTTACAATACTAAACAAACCTTACCTATATTTATGGAAATGTAAGATAGATGGACATGGATAGATAGGCTTAGAATCTAATAAGTATCTAGAATATGTTCGTCATTTATAAACCAATTTTGAAGATTTTATTAAAGAAAACTTCTCGAATGCCTAAAGAATGCCTTAAAGATTTGATCTCGGAGATATCTGTAGTCTTAAGAAAATTGATTTCAACAGACAGACGGACTGATAGAAAGACGGACATAGCTTAATCGAATCCGCTATCAATAAGTATTTTGAACATATGTACATATAAACTTTAAGGATCTTATTCATAAGCTTTTATCAAAGGTTTATAGAACAAATCTTGTATGAAAATTTGATTTATAAACCTTTGATAAATGTTTATGAATAAGACCGTAAAGGTTTAGAAAAATTATATTGAAGAAATTAAAAACTTCGGAGAAAGTGAAGCTTATAAAAATTCCATAATTTTTACAACAGTCTTGAATTGTTCGATAGAATTGGATGATAATATAAAAATCAAATCGAAATTTTTGTTTAACAAACTGATTATAAAACCATAAGAAATGTATTATTTAAACATGTTTTTTATTTAAATTTTTCACTTATAATTTACAATTCTTAATTTTCCTTATAAAAGACAGAAAAAAAATAATAATAATATGTATCGTAGGTATAGTTTAAAACTAAAATTTTAAAATCATAAAGATAAAAATTAAAAAAAAAAAATAATAGATGACGTTTTTAAAGGTTACAAAATGTAAAAACAAAGCTTATCAAAAAAAGCTGTGTTTAGATTACTAAAAATATATATATATGTTTGTAAATATAAACTTCTTTAAAATGGCCTTTAAATTACAAAAATAAAATATGTATGTTGCTTTTTTTTAGATTAGTATACACAATTATTATGATTAAAATTATAAAATAATTATAATAAGAAATTATGACAAAAAATAGAGGAGTTACATATAAGAAAATATAAATTAAAAATTTTGAAATCAAAGTTTCTTCTTTTTTAGCAATAATATAAGCAAGAAATTGAAACAGGAAATCCTAGTGCAGATTTCCAGGATATTATGATGTTATTTTATAAAATAAGTAATAAGTAATTTGGTTGTTTTTATACAAGGGTTTTGTTTAAAAGGGAGTTGGGTGAGAGGGGTTTTCCATTATTATTTCTTGGTTTTTTAAGAGGTTTTATTATGTAATTTTTTAAAACTTATTTTCCGACAGAGTTAATAATTATTTTTGTGTACTTTTTATTTGCAACAAATGCTTAGTTTTGGTTTTTTATTTATAATAAAAAAAATATTGTATTATGTTTCAATTAAAAAATGTCCCTGTATTTAAGAAGAGAAATAAAAAAAAACGTTTTCTTTTAATAGGAGTAACTTTGGAAAAAGAGTTTTGTACTCTACAGAATACACTACCAACTCTAGTCTATAGAAAAGACTACAATATAATCTATAGAAAACACTACAATGTAATATATAGAAAATGCTACAAAGAAGTCTATAGAATAGAATACAATGTAGTCAATGGAATAGTCCACAAAGTAGAATAGATTACAAAGTATTCTTTATAATAGATTACAAAGTATTCTTTAGAATAGAGTACAAAGAAGTCTATAGAATGGACTACAAATAGTCTATAGAATAGAATACAAAGTAGTGTATAGAATACACTACGAAGAGGTCTTTAGAATAGACTACGAAGTATTCTTTAGAAGTAGTTTTTAGAATTATAAAGTAGTCCATAGAATAGTCTACAAGGTAGTCTTTAGAATAGATTATGAAGAAGTCTATAGAATAGTCCACAATATGGTATTTAGAATGAACTACAATGTAGTCTTTAGAATAGTCCACAAAGTAGTCTATAGAATAGTTCACAAAGTTGTCTTTAGACTAAGTAGTCTTGGACTACAAATAGTCTATAGAATAGCATACAAAGTAGTGTCTAGAATAGACTACGAAGAGGTCTTTAGAATAGACTAGGAAGTATTCTTTAGAAGTAGTTTTTAGAATAGACTACAAAGTAGTCTTTGGAATAGACTACGAAGTAGTCTTTAGAATAGATTATAAAGTAGTCCATACGATAGTCTACAAGGTAGTCTTTAGAATAGACTATGAAGAAGTCTATAGAATAGTCCACAATGTGGTATTTAGAATGGACTACAATGTAGTCTTTAGAATAGTCCACAAAGTAGTCTATAGAATAGTCCACAAAGTAGTCTTTAGAATAGACTATGAAGAAGTCTATAGAATAGTCCACAATGTGGTATTTAGAATGGACTACAATGTAGTCTTTAGAATAGTCTACAAAGTAGTCTATAGAATAGTCCACAAAGTAGTCTTTAGAATAGACTATGAAGAAGTCAATAGAATAGTCCACTATGTGGTATTTAGAATGGACTACAATGTAGTCTATAGAATAGTCTACAAGGTATTCTATAGTATAGTCCACAAAGTACTCTATAGAATAGACTACATAGTAGTCTATAGAATAGTCCCCAAGTAGTCTATATAATAGTCTACGATATAGAATATACTACAAAGTCTATAGAATAGTCTAGAAAGTTGTTTCCTAAAACAAATCTTTCTAACAACTTTCCAAAATAGTTTATTGAAAACAAAATAAACATTTCCATTTAAAATTCTTTTGAACTTTTACCAAAATCTTTCTCGACAAAAAAATAAAAACCGCTAAAACTCCTATTAAAATCAAAAAAACGCATCCAAAGAACTTCCAAGTTCAAATATTATACAAGATATATGTATATGACGATTTCTCTCATATAAAACTTTTAAAAACTTTTAAGTAATATAAGTTTAATGCTTGGATATTAATTGAAACAATTAATTTTCATAGAAAATCTACGACGGTGGTAAAGCTGTCAGTTTGGCCATATATGTAGTGGTGGTATTATCCGTTGGATGTACTATAATCGGTGTTGCTGTGGCATAGTTTTGTACATATATTGTAGTAGCCTGAGGTTGGGGTGCAGCAACAAGACTATGATGATGATTGGTTGCGGCGTTTGGCGTTTGAGTATCACACGATAGAGTTGTTTGCTGGAGCAGGGCCGAGGCCGCACTGCTCGTCGTAACAATTGATGATGATGATGTATTAGCTTGGGATGATTGGGTTGGTGATGGTTGTATTAGCGTTGGCTGTGTATGTTGTTGAACATTTTGTTGATGAGATTGATGTTGTTGCTCTTGCTGTGACTGTGGCTCATGACTGTGACTCGTCGTTTGAGAGTGGGGATGCTGGGGTTGATGATGATGCAAATGCATGGGTATAATTGTTGTTGGTACCGTTTCTGTAGCCACCACCGTCGCAGAATGTGCCGAAGATGTAGACATTGAATTCTATATTGAGTTAAAATTAATACTCTGTAAATTCATTGCCGTTGCCGGATTAACATTGATGGTACCCGCTCCGGCTCCACCACCGCCAGCGCTGGCATCTATGTAACGTTGACGTGACATCGAATGCAGACTGGCGGGGAAGTCCAGATGGCGGGTATCCAGGAAACTCATTACACCCATGGTGGGATGTGTGGTAGCACCAGCGGCTGTGCCAGCATGATGGGGTGTACACATCAGTGAGGGTGTTGGTGTTTCGGAAGTCGGTGGTATTTGCATGTTTAGGGCGGCCGTTTGTGCAGCAGCCACTGCTGCCGCCATATGATCGTAGTTCTCATTGGTATCGTCTGTGGCATTGGCAGGTGGTGTGGGGGAGGGTGAGAGATTCGGTTCTTGCTTGACCACACGTGATTTTATACTGGGCCTGGAGACAGGATAACCGCGCTTCTTGTACTCCAGCCATAAAGTACGGTTATTGACGCCATATAGACGTGCTGCTTTACAGAAACCTATACCTCCCGAACGCACTGCCTCCAGGGCCCGTATAAAATTTTCATCACCTTGTGGATTAACCGAACGCTTACGTTTGATATTGGCATTGTTGGCGGAGTTGATGGCGGCCATATTATTACCGCCCACCGAGCCAGAGGCATTGCCCACTGGTGATTGAGTGGGCGTGGGTCCTTGGCTGTATACTGATTGCACCATGTTGCCGTCGTTGGGTGAGGGCGGTGATAGATTTTGAGCCGCCGCTACAGCAGCGGCTGCTGCATTGGTATAACCACTGACCGTTATGATTTGTGGCGAATATGCAGAGTTCTGTTGATGCTGATATTGTTGTAGCTGCTGCAAGTGTTGTTGCTGTTGCTGCTGCTGTTGTTGTTGCTGCTGTTGACTAGCAATAGCTTCTTGCTGTTGACGTTGATGTTGCTGCTGCTGTTGTTGCTGTTGATCACTACTCGAGCTGTTGTTATTGTTGGTATTTGATTGGTTTTGATTGTTGTTATTGCCAATTAAATTGGTGGGACAGGATGACAGCGAAAAGCGTGAATAATTTGGTTCAACAACCGTCCATTGTAAACCTGGGAAGGGGAGAGAGAGAGAGAGAGAAGAGAGTTGGTGAGAGAGTTTTCATTTCATCATCAACAAAAAACAAAGAGAGCCATTTCTTTTCAATTAAGTTTTAAAGTTTTTCAAATTGTTTATTTTTTTTTATTTTAATTTTTATGCTATAATATTATAATTTGCAAACTACTTGTAATTAATTAAAATAAATATTGAAAAAAGTAAAGCGAAATTATTTATTATTTTTTTTTTGAGAAAGAGAGAGATTGGAAAATTTTGTTACAAGTTTTATTTCTTGAAAATTATAGTTTAATTTTTAAAGAAAATTTAAAGAAAAATTTAACTTAAGGTATTTGTTTCTTTTAATTAATTTGTTTTTTTTTTTATAACTAAGACTCTGTGCTATATAAAAAGCTCTCTCCTGTTCCCAAGTTTAGTTTTTTTTCATTTCTTTTAATTTGGTGGTTGAATCAAGTTCACGTTTTCTTGGTTTTCATTTCTTTTTTTTATTCATTTCAGACATTTTTCTTATAATTATACACAAATAAACAGTTAATTATATTAAATAATAACAAAATATATTGTTTTGTTGCTGCTTTAGCACATTTTTTTTCAATAAACATATAAAACAATAAAGAAGTTTATGAGTAAAACAAAACAAAAGTTAAAAAAATGAACTAAATCAAAAAAAAATATATACAATAAAACTTAAGAAAAATGTTAAATGTAAAATAGCCTTATTTAATTTTTACATTTTGATTTGTTTTTTTGTTTTCTTTTAAACAGGCGAGACATTTAATAGCTACAGAGTTATGAGTTATAGCTTAAAATCTAAGCGTTTTTAGAAGTTTTATTTATAAAAAAATGAAAAAAACAAAACTGAGTAGTTGTAAATATGATTTTGGATATGTTCATCCTTTGCTATACTTTACTATAGTTTACTACTCTTACAAACCTTGCAAATATAGCAAATATGTTATAATTTACTACACCCTTATACTAATTGTTGATTAAAGTTTAAATTGTTATTTTCTATAATATTGCAAGACTGAAACCGTTGAATATATCACATATCAAGTCACTTTCGTATAGGAAATGTTTCTTTTTATGCAAACCACTTTTTATAGAAAAACTTGCTATTTTACAACACTTCTCTAAAAGAAATGTTTCTCTATTTCAAGACACTTCTCTAAAGAAAAAGTTGCTCTATTGTAATTGAATGCTGTAGGAAAAATTGCATCATTACAATTTACATTTCAACAGAAAAAGTTTCACTATATGAAGACACTTCTGTAT